AAAATAATAGTAACTAAAAAGGCTGAAGTAATTGTGTAAATATTGCTATCAATATAGACATTCTTGATGTTGTCAGGTGTATTGCTGCTGGCATCGTAAAGTATACCTTGACTTGTCTCCTACTGTGATGTGCACTGTGGGATAATTTTTTGGAGAATAAAAAATGAAATTGGAGAGAACTCTCCCAATCACACCCATGTATAAACATACAAATCAAGTAGTAAATACTGCTCGAGGCTTATTTAATTTGTTTTCAGATGGGTGGTATATTAGTCCAGTTTGTTGCTGCAATGTTGTTTTAAAATTCTCACTTAATGTAGTTAATATGTAAATTAATTAGTATTCAGTATGACAGTAAATATATCTAAACATAAGCAAGGTGATTTAAAAAGATTAACAGAAACTTGTACTCTTTTATTTCCATAAACCATATTGACTTAGACATGTTTTGCATAGGGATTGTCCCACGTGAAACTATATATTTTTATATACATGCAGCATACCGAACCCATTCTTAGAAGACTTTCTGTTGACATAGCTGAAATCACTGAATTTTTGATTGGCGTCATGCACCACGGAACTGTTCTCTTCACCCACTTCCCTGGGTAAACTGTCTCTTTCCAGGACCAAAGTTTAGTGAAGCCATTACTGCTGTGACAAATAAGAAAATTACCTTTTGAACTGATACAGTTGTAAATCTTTTTAAATAAATTGTAAGTGAAGAAATCCAGACTTGCATGCGGTTGTAGTTTCAGCTTGCATGAAGTTTCAGCTGTGTCTGCCTTATTTTAAATTCTCAGTGTGGCCGCCCTTAAGCACAAACATGTTAAGTAATTGTCTCGGTTCCCATGAGTTGGTCCATTCCCGCTGCTTCTCCTTTCATTTTTCATGGACTTTTAGCTGTTCTGTGGCCACTGCTATCCGGGCCTCTACCCAGAGAGGCTAAACCACAGCACAGTGTTTGTATATAGTGCTGCAGTTTCTAMATCTGCTTTGGAGTATCCTACACTGGGAATTGGCCTGGGAGGGAAAACGGAATGTGAGGAGGTTTGTCTGCAGTAGCTGTGGGATGGTCCAGGCCTTGCGGGGAGCATGTGGATCTTGTAGAAGGTCAGTGGTGATAAACAGCTTAGGGGAGTCAGTTTGKAGGGCTGGTTTGAATTAAGAGGTTGGAGTCAGTGGGTTTACAAGGCTGAAATCTGGTTTGGGGTGTGTAGGTGGCAGAGGACAGGAGCAAATGGAAGTATTTATTACTCTGAGGTGGTAGAGCAGGAAAACTAGCCTTTCAGTGCTTGTAATAAAATTAAGATTCTCTTTAGTGTTGAGGGGAGCAACTTTGTTTAAAAGTTGACTCTGATCCCAACTTTTTTTTTTCTTTCATGCAGAGTAATTCATACTCAAGTAATAATGTAATTGAATAGACCACCTTTATTTTGCATTTTTATTTTCATTCTTTTACTGAACTGGAATGTCTGAAGATAGKATATCTAAATTTTCACAAGGCAAGAGATTTCCAAAGGCAGCTGGTCAGGGGCTCTTACAAAGTTCATAAGTTTTAAAAACTTACATTACTCAATCATATCTCAAAGTAGGGAAATTACATGTTTTACATTCATAAATGATGAAGATAAACAGCCTTCCAAAACATGAAAGGGTATTGTGGAAAAGCTGCCTTGTAACAATATTTCAGAAATAATATKTCTTAGTATTTGCAGGATTTCAGTGATTTGCATCTGCACTACAATAAAATTTTACCTTTCTTTTGTGATAGTGAAGGTTGCAAGCTTTGGGGCTTGTGGCTTGTGGATATACTAATCGGCATTTCATTGAAAATCACTTCAAAGAGGTTTACAGGGATATCACTTGCCCAAGTCTATTTTTGGCAYCCAGAGGTTACATGCTTACATTTGCATGCTACCATGAAAAGAATCTCAGATATGTGAATTCTGTATGGAAGCAGGATTTCTTACAGTATCCAGTGCTCTTCCTTTGACATAATGAAATTTGCTTCTGATTATGCCTGTGTAATAGATTTATTTCTAGGCACATTTTATTGCCACAAGCAGTTAACTGTATATATGGAGTCCTCTAGAGAAGGTTGTGGAGTCTCCTCCTCTGGAAGTCTTCAAAACTGGCCTGGATGCCACCCTCTGCCCCATGCTCTGGGTGTCTCTGCTGGAGGAGGGGGGTTGGACTATTTGATCTCTATAGAGGTCCCTTCCAACCTTAACCATTCTGTGATTCTGTGAGTCAAACGTTTATCTTTGTAAAGTTGTAACTTCAACACAGGAAGTTCCATCTCCAGATGAGGAGGAACTTCTTTACTGTGAGGGTAACAGAGCACTGGAAGAGGCTGCCAAGGAGGGTTGTGGAGTCTCCTTCTCTGGARGTCTTCAAAACCCGCCTGGATGTCGCCCTGTGCCACATGCTGTAGGTGTGCCTGCTTGAGCAGGAAGGTTGGACTAGATAATCTCTAGAGGTCACTTCYAGCCTTAACCATTCTGTATCATATCACATCAGTCCTCACTAAACTGAATTCATTTTGCCTAAAAGCTCACATCATATCACCTAAAGCATGAAGAAGAGTAGATTCTTTACATGAAATGAAGAGAAACCACGAAGTATACAATACTTTGCAGGTTAAAGTGCATCCTCCTTCCACACCTGCATTGGGATGCACAGACAAGGGATTCTCAGGACGGAGAMTACCCAAGCCGCAAGGAGCTATTCAGCAAATCTGCGATCCATCTTCCTGGATTCTGCAATTTTCAAATAAATTTTTATTTGTCATAAGAGTCAATTTACTTCTGTATAGTATTGTAGAGACAAGTGTTCATCTACGACTTCAGATAAATTACTTCTGGTTTATACTCTATACYGTTTCAGGTGTTGTGCTTCTCTAAATGTAATTGCTAAGAGATCTTCTTGGACTTTGCAACCTTTCTAAATATAATGCAAGTGATTACTTCTTGAGGATTGGCTTTGCTGTGTGTAAACAATAAGAATTTTTCCYACGTTGTAGCTGAAGTGAAAACCTAAGGCCAGGGAATCCTTCATTAAGACTGATTTAACCAACACATGAATAAGGGGGCAAACCTTGCTTGTTAAGGCTTTTCTACATAGCTTGAGCGTTTCATAGAATCATAGAATCCTTAAGGTTGGAAGGGACCTCGAGACATCATCTACTCCAACCTCCCCTGCACACACAGGATCACCTCGAGCATGTGGCACAGGGCTGCATCCAAGCAGGTTTTGAATGTATCTGGAGAAGGAGATTCCACAACCTCCCCAGGCAGCCTGTTCCAGTGTTCTGTCACCCTCACYGTCAAGAAATTCTTCCTTAAGTTCCTGTGGAGCTTTTGGTGCTTCCAATACTTCATATATGTATGAATTTTCTTTAACGGTGATGTAAACAGATGCACTTCAGGCTTCACTGTGCTTCACTGTCTCTGCTATTGGCTTTTTTTTTTTTTTTTCTGGTAGACATATGGATATTATCAGATCAGGAGTGACAAACTGGGAACCAAAAATGATCATGGGTAGCTGTTTCAGGTGATCCAAAAGTGGCCACGTAAGACAAGATTTTTATTTTCTGTGCTTTGTGACTGTGAAACACTTTATGTATGTAGACTTTGTTGAAGGCCAACCAAAATTCCACTCTTACAATTAGGAAATAATTTKGTAATGGCATAAAGTGGATCTGATTCATTCTGAAAAAGACACGCCTTAGTTTTGAGAGCCCAAATGTCTTCAGTTACTTATAGTTTATTTGCCAGGCACGGAAACAAGCAAAAACTGCTCTATTTTGAACTGAGAGATGTCTAATTACGCCCAGCTGGAACTGTAATCATTAAAGCTGATGCTTTTTGATACTACAGGTTTTCCTACAYGAATAACATTTATTTTTCTTCTTAGAGGGAACTAAAACAGCTAAAACACTCTAGTATTTATTTGCAGTAGGGAAGGGGGATAAACTAATCTAGTTTGCTTCCATAATATTCAGGGAATGTTTTAATGCCTGCTTAGTATTTAAAACAGGTGCCTTAAAGATGTTGGGTAGAATTTGTTATTCCACATCCAAAATAAACCTACTGGTTTCAGAAGACTTATTGATTCATTTTGGTGTAAAGGGAGTACATTTGAGATAATGAATTTAAACACTTTTCCATCTTTCCAAAATACCRTGATCCAGGCCTCTGTAAGTTAACTACTTTTTCTAAACTTATTTGATCATATTATTTAAAACACCAAATTTGCATAACTAATGAATATTCATACTGCAAGATATCCAAGGCCTCCTTTTCCTCATAACTATCTTGAAATGTTTTATTAGAAGATTAGAAAAAAAATGATTTAAAAGGTAGTAGGAATGTTTAATCTAGTAGAACTAGTTTGATACATGTTCATATCTATGAGTATTTCCCAACCTGTTAGTGATGTAGTGAATCATTATGTCATCTGATATATAGGAGTATGTAGACCTTAGAGAAAAATACAATAAATGGTCATAAAAGATAGATTAAGCACAAAATTAGAACTTAAAAAAGTTATTATGAGAATATTTGTTATTACTTATCAGGACTAGGCTTTTCACTATTGTATTCAGAGTTTAATATTTTGCAGTAGTTAATTCCATCTGGTCCAAGATTTATAGGCAAATGAGCATGCCAACCTTGAACTAGCCCCAGCAGTTCAGTGTTTTAGATGATGTAGAATAAATATTCAATGTATTAMACCCCCATTAATTAATAATATTCCCAGATGGAATAAGATTATAGTCAGGAAAGTGACTTCATATGATGCTTATTAACTATAATAAGTTTACTCTTCTSACAGAATTTTAGCTACGCTTCCATCTGTCTTTTTGTGTAACAAGACAATGCCTTGAAAACTTTTGAGTGTTTCTTTAATGGATATAGAACTGTGAAAAAAATCAGCTATTTTATTGTCTTAGTATATTGCATATTTCTATTTTCYAGTAATGACTATTTTTTCCCTAGGAGTTGATCTCCAAGTTTGTTCTTCTAAAAATCCAACATGCTGTACCAAAAAGATGGAAGAAAGATATCAGACTGCAGCAAGGCAAGATATACAGCAAGTCATTCAAGCAACAAGTGCTACATTAAAATTTTTAATATCTCGTAATGCAGCGGCTTTTCAAGGTAAGTCTTTTGCTTTTATTTTAAAACTTGTTCATACTTAATTTTCATTTTTGATCAGTTTCAGCATGAAATAAAGATATCTCTTAATTATTAGTTCTACCTGATGCTTTTATACTTTCAGACTAAGAGTATTAAATCATGTTGGTGATTGACAGTTGCACTGCTTTGGAATTTGAGGCTTATTTAAAATGTCTTTGAGAAAAATAATAAATGATTCTAGTAAGATGCTTTGATTAAAACTGTAAGCTGCTGACTTGGCTTACCTTGCCTTTAATTCAGATATTAAAGTGCAAGGTGTGCAGAAAGTACAAAAACCTAGTATGTATTGCTAGAAAAGAGAGATTTTGTTATTCTAGTATTTATGTCCATATTCTTTTGTCTTGTTCTATAAGAAATGTATGGGTGATCTGTTTTTGAGCTACATTCTTGGGGTCAAGCTTTGTCCCAGTTTTTTGGACTTAAATAATTTAGAGTTTGGGTTGAATTTCAGTGGTATAAATGCAAAACTGGATTCTATCAGGTAAATTAATATTTTCAGGGGCTGATGGAGGGACATCTTTTCAGCAATTTCCCTCTGTACTCTTGAGACTCCTGTGAATTAAYAATGCATTAGTTAATGCAGAAATTGGCTGTGATCTGGGAAGATAGTAGAGTGAGAATATGTGAAGGAAAGTTTCATGTTTCCATGTTTCTTCTTCTTCTGCTCCATGTTTCCAGACACATGGAGCAGAAGAAGGTGCTCAGGAGTAGMCAGCATGGATTYACCAAGGGGAAATCCTGCTTGACTAACCTGATCACCTTCTACGAAGGAATATCTAGYTGGATAGATGAGGGCAGAGCGGTRGATGTCATCTATCTGGATTTGAGCAAGGCTTTTGACACTGTCCCTCACAGCATCCTCCWGGGCAAGCTCCAAAGGTGTGGGATAGATGTGTGGACRGGGAGGTGGATTAGGAATTGGCTCGATGGCAGGGTGCRGAGAGTGGTTGTCAATGGTGCGGAGTCCAGCTGGAGGCCTGTACTTAGTGGTGTCCCCCAGGGGTCAGTTCTCGGTCCGGTCCTGTTCAACTTMTTCATTAACGACCTGGATGAAGGGCTGGAGTGCTCCCTCAGCAAGTTTKCTGAYGATACCAAACTGGGWGGAGTAGCTGATAGCCCTGAGGGCTGTGCTGCCATCCAGAGGGACYTGGACAGACTGGAGGACTGGGCGGYGAGAAACCTCATGAGGTTCAACAGGGGCAAGTGCAGGGTCCTGCACTTGGGGAGGAATAACCCTGGACACCAGTACAGATTAGGGGTGGACCTGCTGGAGAGCAGCCCCGCAGAGAGGGACCTGGGTGTCATGGTGGACGACAAGTTGACCATGAGGCAGCAGTGTKCCCTGGTGGCCAAGAAGGCCAACGGGATCCTGGGGTGCATTAAGAARAGBGTCTCCAGCAGGTCGAGGGAAGTGATCATCCCCCTCTACTCAGCCCTGGTGAGGCCACATCTGGAGTACTGCGTCCAGTTCTGGGCTCCCCAGTACAAGAGGGATGTGGAGCTGCTGGAGAGAGTCCAGCGCAGGGCTACSAGGATGATCAGGGGCCTGGAACATCTACCATATGAACAAAGGCTGAGAGAGCTGGGTGTGTTCAGCCTGGAGAAGAGGAGGCTGAGGGGGGTCCTGATCAGCGTGTATAAATACCTCAAGGGAGGCAGTGAGGAGGAGGGGGTCGGCCTCTTTTCAGTGGTGGGCAGGGATAGGACTAGAGGAAATGGCTTCAAAGTGAAGCATCGGAAGTTCCACAGGAACTTAAGGAAGCATTTCTTCACTGTGAGGGTGACAAAGCACTGGAACAGGCTGCCCAGAGAGGTTGTGGAGTCTCCTTCTTTGGAGATCTTTAAAACCCGCTTGGATGCCGCCCTGTGCCACGCGCTCTAGGTGACCCTGCGTGAGCAGGGGGGTTGGACTCGATGACCTCTGAGGTCCCTTCCAACCTTYAGCATTCTATGATTCTATGATTCTATGAAAGTGATATATAGTCACATATGCTGAAGGCAAAGTCTTTAGGTCTTATCATTTGTCCATTATTGACAAATATTTATGGCTTTTACCTATTTAGTGGACAAGTATTTATGGCTTTAATGATCACTCAGTTGGGTGGATTAGGATATTAACTTCCCTTAAGAGATTTAGGACATTATCCTTTTGATGGGTCTCTTGTTTTTCAACTGTGTACCTCAAATGATTAGCCTTGAACAGCTGTCTAGGATCATAAAATGGGTAGCAAAGTTGACTCTGTGARTAGGTGTTATGGTCACTGGTAACCRGTAAGATGTGTTTCATTGGTAAAACATGCAGGGTGATGGATTAGTAATTTCTGGAAATAATTTCTGGAAAATATGATGTTGATCATATCATTCATTTTTGAAGAATTAAGAACACTACTGACTAAAATTCAAACTAAGACATTTCAGATTCAGAAATCATGGAACGATGTTGCTGATATTTATTTATGTTTTGAAATCTAGCAACATAGCAAGACATTGCTTTTATGACTGGACAGGGGCCTGAGCAACCTAATCTAAATTCAGTTTTGACCCTGTTTTGAGCAGGARTTTGCTGCAGAGATGTCCTAAGGTCTTTTTGAACCTGAATTGCTTTGTGACTATATGATTATCTCAGCATTTGCCACTTAAAGATGAAACTTTTGCCATTCTCTTCAGCTTTTGATGAAGCTATRCTGTGCTGTGTGACCAGAGATGCCATTGTTTCAAAACAAAAATTTAACCTGAGGCTTGTTACTCTGGCAGCTTTTTAAGTTTCTCAGCAGGATGCAAAAAGTGTGAAGGGGTGTATGGAGAGAGTAGTGTCACAGACTGCTCAGTGCCACTGGATTGCTGCTGTTGTCACCTCTTTGTTTTTGTAGCCTTTTGCTGATGGATGCCTTGACTTAAAAAAGGCTGGATCCAAGTGGATCAAAACAGCTCATGTTTTCTGTCAGTTCCTTACAATAAATAGAAATAGGGAGTGAGCACTGGTCATCTGTGTCTCTCTGGAGATCTTTGGAGGTACGTGTTCTTCTTGCAATAAATTAAGTGTAGAGATCCTAAGTACTTTAGGAAGACTGTATTTGTTCATAAGAGGAACCATCTCTATCTGTATGTTTGTATGTGCTTTTATGCTTGTCATCTGTATCAGTCATATGTGTCTGGGCCTGAATGTTTTATGGAGTCATATTCATTTGAAATTAGAGTCTTCATAAACAAGTGCTGTTTTATATTCATTATAAAACCTGCCAYGATGTAATATTTTTATGGCTTTAAAAGTTCATGTAAATTGGTTGCACTGCACACTCTGCAGACTGAAAAGCTCTTTGTTTAAAGAGGAATTCATCATTGAACACCTGGGTAGAATTATTTAATCCTATGTGACAACTGACCACTCYTAGAAAGAAAAGGCAACTGAAGAAAAGTTTTTATGATTTCTCTGCTACTGTTTTGCCTAGTCGTTCCATATACCAGTGGTAATGACAGTTCTTGCTTTAAAGCACAGGCAGTATAAATCTGTAGTTCTATTCGAGGCAATAGAATATTTGCTTGAAAATTGTGGTTGTTGCTTTGTTAGAAGTTTCTTATTGGTTAATTTTGCTATTGCCTATCATTAATGTGAGGGCTACTGAGAGAATTAGCTTTGCTCCTTGTGAAGGGAACAGAAGAGTTAAGCACAGATATTTTTCAAACTATTGCAGGTAGAAAGTATAAATCATTCTGTTTAATGCTTGGTCTAAAGAATGGCTACTCTAATAATAAAACATCTCCTTACATTGTACTTCAAGCTTAGCTCTTTTGTCAAGTACTGGTATTTAAATAAAGCTGTGTTTTCAGATTTGAAAGCACTCATCATACGCTTTCATCTGACCTACAGTACATGCTATAGTGATTGTTTCTAGCCTTATGGGATGCTTTTGTTGTAAGCTTGTGTTCCCTCCAAAAGAGGAGGGAAATACTTGTCCGCAGTAGAGCTAAGAAGGTGGAAAAAGTTCATGGTTGGGAGTCTTTTAATGTWTGTTAAAATCCTGTGATAGGTGTTGCCTGCTAACAGAAATGTCTATCAATAATTTTCAAATGCTGCAAAAAATTTGGAATCTTTTAGAACATATCAAGTTAAATAATAAAATTGCACYACTCGTGTACTGTTTCTTAGCAAGTATTGTTATTATGTTTTGCTTACCTTTTAGGGCATAGGAGAGTGTGTACTTGCTTTTTCACTGTGAATCTTGATTCAATACATTTGAGAAGTGATGAGACAGACAAGGCTGGGAGGCAGGGAAATTAAGTAGGAATACAATAACATATACCAACCTGGGTATTAAACTGATGATGGGAGATATGAGGAGCAAGAAATTATTCTTCCCTTGGAGAAGGTGCTGTACAGAATTGACATTTCACAGATTCACAGATTCACAGAATATTTAAAGTTGGAAGGGACCTCTASAGATCATCTAGTCCAACCTTCCTGCTCAAGGAGGGACACCTAGAGCATGTGGCACAGGGTGGCATCCAGGCGGGTTTTGAAGACCTCCAGAGAAGGAGACTCCACAACCTCCCTGGGCAGCCTAGAATTCCACTAGAATTTCYATTCTAGTGGAAACCATAAGTACAAATAATTGCTTTCTCCAACATTTATTTTATGCACTCTAGGCTTACATATGTATACACTTGTTTTGCCCAATTCTTAAATGTTCAAAGAGGTTTGTGTTACTCCTTGTGTTACTCCTTTGTGTTATGCTTCCGAAAAAGAATGAGTGTCCAGAGACTGACTTATGTCTATCCTAAGAATTAGCTACTGTAGTAGATGGGTTGCAGCCACACTATATATTGTTTTGTGTAAGTACATTATTTTCCTTTTGCATTTTTCCATTCAAAGTGCGTATAGTAATATGAAGCAATATGAAGACTGCCCATTAAAATGATACAGAATGAGGGCTTGTGTGGCATACCTTGTGAGGATGTATAAG